CTTTTGTTTTTTTAATTTATTTTTTTTGTTTAATTTAGGTTGTTAATGTTTAATTTTTTTCTATTTAATTATCAAACTTTCATAACACGGACCCTGATTTTGACAGGTAACCTGATTTGATAGGTTAGCTCAGTTAATTATGAATTAACCCATCAATTTTTTTCTATTTAATTATCAAACTTTTATGATATGAATTTAAGATTTGATAAGTTAACGTGATTTAAAGGGTTAATCTAATTAATTTAGATTTTTTTATTAATTTATTAATTATCATACTTTTATGACACGACCTTGCAACTAGACCTACTGGGTCATGCAAGTTTAGTTTAATGTTATTATTAATATTATTAATATTATTTTTGAGTCAATTGTTACAATTAAACCTAAAAAATTTTAATATAATTTTGTAAATTTTTTTAATATTTTTAAATTTTAAATTTTTTTAATATTTTTTATATTAAAAAATTAACGGTTGATGTAACTAACTAACAAATATCGTGGAAGTCAATTGTTATTTGTCTCTAAAGTCCTAACGGCGGCTATCTCGACTGAAATTGGTTAACAACATAGCCAACCAATCAGCATGCTGAAGTAAGATCCACCGAGGAATGCTTGGTGAAGGACCAGCTAGCTTTGAGCTACAAATAATTTCCAGCCATAAAACGTACTGTTGGTGACCCTTAGGTAAATTAGTAACTCGATCATTTAAGAAATCCACACATGATGTGGTTGGTTTTAGGTTGTGCTTTGCAGTTTGGTTAAAATGTTGTTTATTCAAAACTTAATTTTTTTATTTAAAATTAAATTATTTTTTTATTTACTTAAATTGTTTAGATATTCTATGTAAAAATAAATTTTAAAAAATAAAAAATATTATTTTAATTTATTTTTAAAAAATATATATTTTAAAACACATCATCAATCACGCTATAAAAAAGTTGCTTTATGTTGCAACTAATCCACTTAAGTTGATTGTTGAATCCATTAAATGCACTGGCACTCGCCGGTAATGTTTTGCAAATATGACAAGTCAATATAATTGCCATGAAATTTCAAAGAACGTCACGGAAGCCTTCAAGAAAAAGAATTTTCTCCACCTATAATAATTTACAATATAATCGATCTATACTGCTCAAGGAGAGGTTCCATCAAACCCTTTATCAGCCTAAAAGCTGTCTACACGCACCAAAATTACCTTGACCCGAGTTGCTTTAGGGTTGGTAGTGTTAATGAAGATATAATTAAGTAAAATATTAAATTACATGTGATTTTCATTGTAGTGCATCCACAATGAAATTAGTAATTTATTCTTTATCCTTTAGTTTTTACCACTTTACTTGAGGGATAAGGTGATCATTACACACGTTTAATTTATCATTCTTGATTTATCCACAGCCACCACTGTCTTTTTTCTTCTTTTTTTTAATAATAATACAATTATCATATTACCTCTCAAGAGCAAACAATCAAACCCTTGGTTTGACGGGCTTGATTCTCTCAAGGAAGAAATGAATGTTAGGAAGATTCATGACGACTCATTCCAAGTTGATTTCTGTAATTGTGGTGCTCTTTGAACGAAACCCCTCCAGTGGTTCCAAGATAATTAATTAGCAACTTGAATGAAAAGGGTTGAAAGGTCTTCCGCTGCCTCCATTGTTTAGAAATCTGCAAGGCTGCTTTCGTTGTTTGAAAAAATATTTACAAAATTAAACGTGATTATCATTTTTAGCATTAGCGCGTTTAACTATTTTGAAACAAGGTTAGATAAAGATTACTCGGTAATTAGCAACTTGAATGAGCATTCATGGGACCGGAGAGTTGTGGGGCATTATTCTCACTCGACTGAGCTACAACCCCAGTTGCCAAGGATCACGTCAATTTTTTCATAAGGGCTTGCTTGTAATTTTATAAGAGTTTTTTTTTAATTATTATTATCTTGTTTAGTTATAGGAGCATTTTGGGTTTTGTGCAAAAAAAAATATATTAACACATGTTTTTCACTTTCTTATTTTCAAGCAATATGTGTCATTGATAATGATAATTGAAATCAAGTTTTTATAATATTATTTGATATGTCTTGATTTTTTTTTTCTTAGGAGGGTGTGTATAGTAGTGAGATTTTGTTTATATTTTTTTGTAATTTTTTTAATGTTTTTTCTCTACTCCTTTTGATTTTGAAAATTTATTCCACACGGACTAGAAAAATAGAATTTCATGTTAATAATTATAATATTATTTAATTATTTAATTATGTTAAGAATTAGCTTAATATCTTATGTATTTTTTATCAATAGTTATGATTTTTATTATATTTAAATATTGAATTTATGATTTTTAATTATATTTTTTACTTGATAAAAACATGTTAATAAAACTTATACATTAATTCTTTTATGTTGAAAAAAATTACTCAACTTGTAGCTAAATAAATATGTTAAAATTTTATTTTTTATATTTATTGACAAAAATAGTTTTTGTAAATGATTTAATTTATAATTAGAATTAAAAAAATAAATTTAAAAAGTTTGCATATTTATTTTGTAACGAAGTTATAGCAGAATCTGACTGGTAGAATAGGAAGGAATCACCTGTTTGATTCCAACACCATTGAACATATAATCCAGACAAGATATATTTGTTATCGAATAAAAAATAATATAAGACACGAAGAGAGAGGGAGGATATGATGGCTCTGAAGAGAGGGGAAAGGAGATGGGAAGTTCATGGAAAGTGCAGGGAAGGGGGAAAAGGAAAAGGTAGCAAAGAAAAGTCAAGAGGATATGTTAGTTTTTTCATTAAAATTTGAATCTAATATTGATCCAATATATATAACGTAATTTAAAAAAAAAACTATAATATTGATCCAATATAAAATATTAGAATGATTAGAGTAATTTTATATTATTATTATTATTATTAGTACTGCTACTGGCTGAGTATAATAAAACCAATAAAGACTTTAAAGACGAACACGTTAAGTACACTTGATAAATTGTCGTTGGTGCCAGATAAGGGAGGCTTTGACTTGGAGCCTTGAGGTGTTGATCTCCTTTTGGAGGAGGGAGTTTTGTGCCTTTTCAGGAATGCCGTATAAGTCGTGTTTGGAAATGTTTTTTTTTTTTTTTTTTTATTATTATATATATATATTTTAATTTTTTTATAATCTATGAAAATAATAAAAAAATACTAAAAATAATGGTTGAACGCTATATCAAATAAGAGCTTTCCTAACTTTGATATTATAATAATAGCTGTCGTTTGAAAATGTAATATGATAATATTTTTTTAAAAAAATTATTTTTAATATTAATATATTAAAATAATTAAAAATAAAAACTAATTTAAAGCAATATTTTTTTTTATAAAAAAGCATGACCACACCACAAAAACAAAAGATACCTTAATCTCATTGTCGTTTTGTGATTTTTTAGCAAGTTGAAGGTTAGTTTACGAGGGTGTTCGAAGTTTTTTTTTAATATTTTTTTTCTTTTCAAATTAATTTGTTTTTTTAATTGTTTTAATACATTAATATTAAAAATAAATGGTAATGCCACCTGATATGTTTTAGGACAAGGATGCTTGAATTCTTGAAATTCTCACAAAAGCAATTAGGTATTTAAAGACTAAAGCACACAGCTTAGTGCTCGTTTGAATGAAAATGGAGGGAGTAGAGAACCATAACCACACCGATCATCATGATTTTGCTGAGGTGTTCTCTTGCACGTCGGAGACAGGAATGATTTTAAAAACTGGGTCCGCCTGCCCTGGCTAAAGGGCCACTGATTTTGAAATGAAATCAATTTGCTTCCCTTCATTTCTTCAATTTTCCATCACACATCCTTGTAATATGTATTTATTGTTTAAATTTATGATGATAATTGATTTAAAATTACGATACCTGTTGTGTTTTTTTAAATTTTACTTAAAAATATGTGAAAATAATTTTTTTTAATATTAGTAAATCAAAATAATTGAAAAATATAAATAAAAATTAATCTTCAAGCAAAAAAAAATTAAATTTTTGTAAAACATGTTTCTACCTCAAACTAGAAGACAAGCATGATGAAAGTAACTGCTTATCAAAATAGCAGGCAAGGCATACTATTCAAAGTCTATGGTTTGTATAGGAATAATTAAATCATCATGGTTAAAGACGTTGAGTTTATTTATTTTTATATTTTAATTTTTTTTGTTTTAAAATTATTTTGATGGACTGATATAATAAAAAAATTTAAAAATAAAAATATTAATTTTATATATTTTTAAATAAAAAAACTTTAAAAAATAAACCATGCTGAAGGCCTGTCACCGACCTTACCTCACCATTCTTTAATTAACAAAAAAACAGTTCTCCTTGCTAAGAAACTCTGTTTAACTTGCGTGGCTAAAAGTTTTGAATTTTTTTATTTAAAATTAATATTTTTTAAATTATTTTGATATGTTAATATTAAAAATAATTTTTTTAAAATAAAAAAATATTATTTTAATATATTTATAAATACAAAACACTTTAAAAAAATAATTAAAATTAAATTACCGTAAATACAACAACAAAATAATATAAAAAAGGTCAGCCATTCTCGAGGCACGAGGGCAAAGCTTTACCTGTTCAAAGTATCACCCTACACAGTAGACGGTTCAAAGAAGGGTTTTTTTTTTTTTTTTAATATATTAAAATAATATATTTTTAAAATATTTATTACATCGCTGCGCACAAAAAAAAATTTTATAATCAATTTGCAAATATAATAAAAGTTATCTTTTAAAATATTTTTTGTTTTGAAATGTTCTAAAACAATATATTTTTTATTTTTTAAATTTATTTTTAATACTATTATATCAAAACAATTGAAAAATAAAAAAAATTAATTCAAAAATAAAAAAATTTAAATTTCTTAAAAAATATGGTTGAATCCTATAATATACTAGATATAAGGGAACACTAGTAATAAATAAAAAGAAAAACTCCCACGCGCGAATCTAAAGAAATGTCAAAACGACAAAACTTTACACCTGCCTACCGACACGCCCGCCCCAAATATGAGCCCCTCCTCCTCTCCGCTCTGCTTTCTTCTTCATCAACAACTTTAGTACTGGACGGACTGCTTAATTACCTCTCCCTCTCTTGCTTGTAATCGGATCCTTACTAGTTGCTGCTACTGAAAAATGTCAAGATTAGAGTCAGGCTCAGGTGGTGACCCTAACATCAAAGGCATACCTACTCATGGTGGACGCTATGTACAGTATAACGTCTACGGTAACCTCTTTGAAGTTTCTAGAAAGTACGTCCCTCCTATTCGCCCTGTTGGCCGTGGTGCTTATGGTATTGTTTGGTACGTCTGATTCTTAATTGGAAACTACTTTTCCTCTGTTGTTAAGTTTCAACTGTAGGTTTTCGTTACTTTATAGTTTTCGATTTCAGTTCTTTTAGTTTTAGGTTAAGTTATGAATTTTTTATTATTCGTTTTTCGTAGCCTGGTTTTAATGCCGTGTTGGATTGTATTAAGATTTTCTCCAAAGTGAAATTTCAAGAATAAAATCTTGATCTTGATCTTTCTAAAAAATGAGTGCTCTTTTGCAAGATTCCAGAAGCTTATAGGTTTCTTTTATTTACTTGGTGTAAACCATGAAATGCTGGTGCTTAAGAATTTCTTAATTTTTGAGCCAGGGAATATTTATTGCAAGAAAAGTAAATCTTTTTTAGTAGTTGTTGGAGTTCTAAGAACTGCTATTTCTGGTGAAGTGTGAATATTTTGTGATTTCATTGTGTGTGACTTAATTTCTGTGTGTAATCATCTATGTGAAGGAAGATGTGGTTTTTTTATTTCCTTCAGTGCTGCTGTGAATGCCGAGACACGTGAAGAGGTTGCCATTAAGAAGATTGGTAATGCATTTGTCAACAGAATAGATGCTAAGAGGACTTTACGAGAGATTAAGCTTCTTCGCCACTTGGATCATGAAAATGTAAGTTTGAATTCCCTTGTTATTCTTATGATTTCCGAGCTCAACTCAAGTTATCGTTTCATGATTTCATAGATTAATTCAAGTTGTTGCTCAGGTCAGTTATAATTCTACCAAGAACCTGAATTCTGTTGCAATCATAGTTTTCTTTTCAGTGGTGGGATTTTTGTAAACCTGACCTTTGCTTACTTTATTCTTATCATCAATTGGGCGATTCCTTGTTAATTGAACTTAAGCTCTGCTTTCATAGAGCGTGAAGCTCTTGGTGATTCAAAAGTCAATTGCTAGATTGGCAACAGTATATTAATTTGGATTCATTTGATTCACAATTTTCTATTGTAGTCAACTGCGTCATGTAGATATGTGCTCTGTCAGCTCAGGATTGACCGGTTTATCATTTTACTTAAGTTTTTAAGTTCTATTTGACTTTATATCATCCACGTTTGAGACTGGTTTGTCAACACACTCTAATTGTGTGGCATTGGAGCCTATACCTCACGAGTGCTTGCTGATGTTGTATGGTAGAACTTGTGTATTTATTGTTTCTATGGTGTTTTGTTATTATTATGATCTTACTACTAATTCCCCGCTCCTCAGGTTATTGCTATCAAAGACATCATTCGGCCTCCCCAGACAGAAAACTTCAATGATGTCTACATTGTTTATGAATTAATGGATACAGATCTTCATCAAATAATTCGCTCCAACCAACAACAATTGACAGATGATCATTGTCGGGTTAGCTCCATTAATTCTTCTTGAATTTTGTCTCCACTATAAGTAATCTATACTCATAGCGAGCAGAGTTATCTAAGACATTATTGTTCTTGTGGTTGCTTATTTGATTTTTACTTATTTTTTACCATCCTCTAGAATATTGTGATCTGACTGTAGCTTTTAGCTTGCTGCAAATTTCAAGCTTTACTGGTTGAAATTGTGACAAAATGGTTCGGCTAGTCATGATAAGCTGCATAAGCTATTCTTCCTCATTTAGCTATAAATAAATGCTAGATTTTCAACTAAATCATAATCATAGCACGATGACTTTCATTATCTGTTTGTCTTTGTGGAGCCAATAGATTTATTAGTTGGCTACCTTGTCATTTGTAATTTAGTGGTATCATGTCTCTAATAATTCACAGTTGTCTTTGGGCTTCACTGCTCTTTCTACCTCTCCCCCTTTTTTCTTAAATCCCTACAGATCACCCCATCTCCCCATCATGTTTATCTCGATCTTTTCGATCACAAGGGGGCAAATTCACAAAAGAGAGACAAAGCTACGGCCACATGCCACAGCCCAAGAGACTGCAAAATGCTTTCTCTAAGGAATGCTATAGTTGGAATTATCATTGTTTTATGAGCAAGAATAGCAGAAATTAACAAATACTGTGTTAGGTGCTTGATCTTAATTGATATCCAAACTGTTGCTTTGCAGTATTTTCTCTATCAGTTGCTAAGAGGGCTTAAATATGTACATTCCGCAAATGTCTTGCATCGTGATCTAAAACCCAGCAATTTGTTCTTGAATGCTAATTGTGACCTTAAGATTGGAGACTTTGGACTTGCAAGGACAACATCTGAAACGGATTTCATGACCGAGTATGTGGTCACTCGATGGTACCGGGCACCAGAATTACTCCTCAATTGTTCTGAGTACACTGCAGCAATTGATATATGGTCAGTGGGTTGTATACTTGGTGAAATCTTGACTCGGCAAGCTTTATTTCCTGGGAAAGACTATGTTCATCAGCTGAGGCTTGTTACAGAGGTAAGTCATTTTGCAATTGCCCATCAATCGTGTTCTGGAGTATTCTTGCTGTGTTTTCTCTATCAAAGTATTTGCTCATTGTTTGAGGACTGAGGCTCTAACTCTTTTCATTCACTTATATGTGATTGTTAGTGGCCATTGATAATTATAATTTATGCACCCTTTGGCCTTTTTTTCTCTCTCCAATGGCACAGTAGCTTTTTCTTAAATTGACAAGTCATAGAATCCTCCCCCCCCCCTCCCCTTGTGTCCAAATGGCAGGAATTGCATTATTGTTAAGTCTCAATCTGGTAACTGTGTAATAATCATGGATTAATCTAGGATGCACATCTGGGGAGCAGGTTCGTAAAGTTATTATTTCGAGGGGTCTATTTAGAAGAACCTTTTAAAAAAAAAAATCAAACTTGGGGCGCGGGGGTTGGTTGAAATTTTTAATTTGTCCTGGTAATGATTATATCTTAGGAACAACAGTGCAACAAAGAGATGTGATTGGGAATCAGAAATTCCCTCCTCTCCTTTTCTTGTTCATTTATGTGATAGTGATGCATCTCCACTTCTATTCTGTTTTATCACACTCTTGTTTGTTTTTTTTTAGCTGGTTGTGCATGGCACAACTATGAGCATAACACCTTGTTCATTTATCTTTGAATAGCTCATAGGTTCACCTGATGATTCCTGTCTTGGTTTCCTGCGAAGTGAGAATGCACGAAGATATGTCAGGCAGCTTCCGCAATATCCAAGGCAAAATTTTGCTGCTAGATTTCCTAATATTTCTGCTGGTGCTGCTGATTTGTTGGAGAAAATGCTGGTCTTTGATCCAAATAGGCGTATTACAGGTAAAATGAGGCAGGCATGATAGTGATTTCAAGAACTAGTTTGTGACATTGTGGTAACATGTTTTTTAAATTGATGACTATAAACATAGGGTAAAGTTGAACATTCAGGGTCATATGTAGCATTGATAGTGCATCAAAATAATAATTAATACGGATATAGTGTCATGTGCTTTATCTTTGTGGGACCTTTTCCTGTAAGCTTGGCTATGCATTTGACCTGGAAGTAAGTGCATTCACCAAATAATATTTGAGATAATGGCTATTATTCGATAAAGTGAAATTGCATATCATAGTAGTAGTATGGAAAATTATGGTATGTCCCAACATTTGGAAATTATATCAAATTGATTAAAATTAAGCTTATTTTCTGATTAATGAAGCTTTTATTTGGGCAGTGATTACATTTGACCTTTTTCTCTTTGCAGTTGATGAGGCATTGTGCCATCCATACTTGGCACCTCTTCATGACATCAACGAGGAGCCTGTCTGCCCAAGGCCTTTCCTCTTTGATTTTGAGCAACCATCATTTACTGAAGAAAACATCAAGGAACACATCTGGATGGAATCTGTAAACTTCAATCCAGGTCCTTGAGAATTATATGATTGACTTGTTGTTGTATACATTTGGGAAGCTATCCCATGGTTATAATGGACAACACTATAACATATCCACCAGATTCTCTGAGAGAAGAAGAGATAAGAAACGTACTGGATGCATAGAATTTTCTGTAGGTTTCTATAAACTGATACTTCAGATTTTTTACAACGTCAAAAAGTGTAAGATGGAGGACAAGCAGTGTAATCCTAAAGTTTGCTGAGCAGAATCTCCATAAAGATTCCATCTTTAGTTGGTGTAGGTTCTTCCTGGGGCTGTGCCATGGGCCACTTAAGCTTTATGAGGAGTTCTCTAGTGAACTCTATTGGTCATGGATTGAACTCTTCATGGTTTTGAGGATGCTCGATGGTCCCTTTTTTTATTTCCAGTTTATGAATGTTGATTTTGAATGTGAAGAATTGCTAGGTAATAACGTGTTTCTCTTGTGGACCTGGAAGAGATGAAATCTGTAGATATTGTTTCTGGTACTGTTGCTATGGTTATGCTTTATGGTGATTTGGACTTTAGACGTTGGGACATGGGTGCTGGTGTTTGGCTTGACTGTTGTTAAAGAGATCTCATAGGTTTTTTATCTTTCAACCGCCAGCTGCAGTAGCTGTATTTGAAGAGAGAATTCCAGACCCTTGCTGGTACGAACGAAGATTGTGTTATCATCTGGAACATGAACCATGGCAAAGGTTATGTTGATTCTATGGGACACTGAAGTTGAATCGGATAATTTTATCACGACTTGTGAAATCGATTCTAAAAAACCCCCCACTTCCATTTCGCTATGTTTTAGTATTATTTGTTGCGTGCTTAATGCATTTCGATCCAAGGCCTTGTATGGCTCGTGTCAAATTCTGCTTATTCAATCTTATATTTGTTGACAACAAATTTCATGTTGCGTATTTGTTTCGATAATGTTTGTGCTTGCACCTGCTTAAAGCATTTCAATCCCAAGTAATGAACAGCTTTTGTCAATATTATGTTTGTCTGATCATGCTGTATGTGTGCGATATGATCACTTGCAAGTTATAAAACTGAGAGAAACTAGTAGATTATATATATTTTTTGCTCGGAGCTAGCAGTGTTTATACATTGCTTGATGGTAGTAGAGAAGCAAAGTTCACACATAACTCATTCCGAAGGAGCACGTCTTGAACTGTACCAAGTCGATTGGTATCTTCTCAGGAGGGAAATCACAGGATGTGATTTTCTCTGGCCCTTGATCCGGTAGCAAATCACATGGTCGTGGACTTACCCCGCTTGTCATACCCTCAATTTCGGTGCAGGTCCATGGCACCTTCTTTGCCTTGGGTGCCAATCCGATTGTCACATTAGAGATGCAAATTTCCTTGAATGGATCGCCTGCAATGCCCTCCAATCTAGCAGCCATTGTCACATTGTCTGCAACCATGTCCCTGTAATTTATGCCTTGAATCAATGGCAGTGCATTTGGATCATAATTCTTATCAGCATGTGACCCATAATTTCCAGTCATCCAAAAGACCCATTTCATGGTATGCATGGTCATTCTCTTCACGTATATATCCTTCACATACCCTCCTCTCCCTACAGCAGTTTTGATCCTGACCCCAGATTCTGTATGGATGGCTGTGAGATCCTCTGCTCTAACGTCTTCTATCCCACCTGACATTTCACTCCCTAGAGCAATCGTGGCACTGTATGGAGAGATGCACGTGAGCCGTCTGATGACTAGTTGCTTTGTGGGCATTCCAAATGCAATCCCGTACTCATCCCAACCACTTTTAACTGCCACACAATCGTCTCCAGAAACTATGTAACAATCTTCAATCTTAGTGTTTGTACAGGAATCTGCAACGTCATACCACAGAATTAAATACTGCCAAGTTGTTCGTGCAAAATATGCGGCAGATTGGATGTAAGGTATTTGGCTTCGAAGTCCTTGAACTTCAAGATGGTTGAACAATTATAAGCTAATCAGAAATCAGGGAAATACAAACCTGGATTAATTCCATCGGTATTTGGTGATGTGATTGGAGCGATGATGGTAATGCCTTGCACAAGAATATCTCTGCAATCCCATGATTAATGAAAAAATTAATAAGTGGAAAAAAAAATAGTCATGAAAGTCTCTCTCTCTCTCTATATATATATAGTGTGGAGAGATGTGATCATATATGTGATGACATACAACAGGGTATAGAATACCTGCTGTAAACAGGATGAACATTCCAAGACGGGGAATTCAGGAGCGTTAGATTTGAAATTTGGATAGTATCTGAGAACATGATCTCAATTAAGTAAGGCCTGGTGTATTTTAGCTTGCCCTTGTGGAAGTTCTGCCACCAGAATGCTCCCTGGCCGTCAATTGTGCCGTTGTTCCCTGACATTTCAAATTTGTCACCAACCCACTTGTAAGATTGATCACAGGTAAAAGCGCATGATTTTGTTATAATTTGTAAAATTGCTCTTAAATCTTGCGCATCTCTTCTTAAATTGCATTGCATTACCTGTAATAATAACGTCAGTGAGGTTCGTTCCAAATATGAGACTGCTGTACCTCCCCGCTGCTGCATCCCTCCCTCTGCCGTACGACGGCAGAGGTTTCATCACTGGCCATTCTTGCATGTCCTAAACCATTCCATTCTTGACTTGGTTAATCAACGAAACAGAAGACGCGCGAGACATTTTTTAAAGAAGAAAAAAAAGATGGCACTTCTAGGTCTACGCGTAGTTGTAACCATGCAAACCTGAGAGGCAAGAAGCACAGCATCCTTGTGTAGGTAAAGTGTGAAGTGGCTGGTAAGACTGAAGCTACCAGTCAACCAATTTCCAGCAGGAACAAAGAGCTGAGAGCCACCATCTGATGAAAACTGACTCAAATGATCAATTGCATCCTTAAATGCTTTAGTGTTCGATGTTTTTCCATCGCCAACTCCTCCGAAATCAGTTAATGATGCACTGTGAGCCCTGCAATTTATGGCACTGTACTCAAAGGAGTCCAAAATCCTCGCCTTTCTGCTCTCAGCACCTCTGAAGCTAATGAAGGCAACCACAAGTAACGCTAGAACCACACTAGTCACCTGCAAGCTCATAACGGGGCAAAGAAGAAAGAGAACTAATTAATTAGCACTAATACTTGTCAAGAAAAGATAAATACTCGACACAAGCAGTGTTTCTTTTGTTTGCTAGAATGGATAAGGGTATAGAGATATTTACTCGAGTTTCCATGCCGCTTATCGACAATAATTCTATCACGGGAGAGGGAAATGTAGAATTTGTTGTGAGAACTCGAATGAAAAATGAGGTATTTATAGGGAAAAAAGCTAAGGCTGTTGGATTCTCCTTGTAGGGTTGCTTGTCGTTCTTTGAAGTTAAGCAATGCTTTCCGTGACTGCATTCTAAAATTGCCGATTGTATTGGCATCATACACATCAGAAACATAATTTCCACCATTCACTTGATAACAAATCTTGATAATATCCGAGTGTCTGATTGGACAAAAATGTTGTGACTTGTCTTGAAGAAAAAAACTCTGACAAATTACCAATATTTTGTGTTGTAGTACAAGGAATCACTAGTCATTTGTCCACTTTTGCTCCTCTTCATGTTATTATTATTATTATTATTTTAAATCGAAAGATGAAATCCCATAGACAAAAGAGCCCGAAACATGGTTACATCGCTGAGAAGATGGGTCGGAAACCTGGTGCTTAGTGAAAACATTTTTCTTCGACCTTAATTGGTATATATTTATGGTCTAAACTTCATTACTTTGAAGCATCGAATATAATATTATCATAATCTGACAAAGACGTTCCAATTAAGCGTAATTATCGTGACAGGATCTTAGCATCCCTTGAGAACCCATTATTTACATGCCACTCACCATTATATTCATCTTATCACCATCCTCCCACTGCACTCCTTCGCATTAACCATTTTCTAAAGCATCACTTTTCACCGAAACTTTGTTTTTTCCCCACTTTACGAAGGAGATTAAATGGGTGATGTTATCGAATAGTGCTAAACTAGGATAGGCTCACCACCAGTGCCATAGCTTCTGAGCTTGTGAGCTTGTCGAGCTTGTAGCAGAGAGCATGTGACCGAGGGAATTTGGAGTGTGGTGGTTGCTCCTTGGCCTCTTCTGTTGGAAAGTAGTTAGTGGCCCCCATATGACTTCGCTTTCTTGGCGTTCGCATCGAAGTCTTCAATCTCGTGAGCCTCCTCCTCTCACGGCACACCAGCACCCCACTATTGCCGCCCCACTTCACGGGTGAAAATGTGAAATATAAGTGATGAGGCCCACCTTTGTTCTCATCATTAACAGTCATCCCTCGAATATTCGACTACTAATATGGCTACATGAAACTTTAACAGACAGATTAACCCGTAAGCGTTGCATCGAAAAGAAAAGAAAACTTCTAGTGAGGATCAAAATGCAAACATGCAAATTTTTCACGAGCTCTGTTTGCTAATCAGCCTCTAGCTAGTCACGAGAGCATTATACATTAATCGTTTCAAATCAAATAATGTCCACACAAAATTCTTGTTAATGGACCTACCTTCCTCCTCCCCTTTCATCAAATGTACTAACTTGAGTCATTCTTCCTCGTAAGCACTTCATCTAGTTCTAGAAACAACGTCCCCATGACTGAACCAACTCTGGATGTTGTTTCCTGTTCTTTTGGGAGAAAAAAGGCACTTTAGATTGCTGGGAAACTTATCTCATGGAATAGGATTTATCCGAATTTACCATCGTGAGCTCCAGTATACTACCAAGTCCAACTGGGTCTAGCACCCTATCAAATCCAATCCCATTGTCGGGTCTATCTATCTAGGTATGGCACCGTACCATGCTTGCGATTCCAATCCCTCGTCTCTCACCCATCTCCCCATACATCGCTAGTTATACAAAAATATCTCTTAGTTTACAACATGTTCATCTCTTAGCTGTATTAATTTGGTGGAAGACAAATGCGTTGCTGTGGTGTTTTGGGTAGGCTGAGTGAAATACAACTCAAGTCTAAAGATACAAAACTAATTTTTTAAAAGTGAAATGATACTCCAACAGGTTTAGGTAATATAAATAATCTCTAAATCATTCAAATAAATAATTTATAATTTTTATTTTTAATATATATATAAGTGAACATTTAGATTCCCATCCTTTTAATCAACTTTCATGCGACCTTGGTTATGACTTTTTTTCATCCGTTCGAAGCACATGACGTTTCAGCTTTAACAAATGTTTAAAATTGAGGTAAAGATTATTTTTTAAAGTATTATTTAAAAATATATTAAAATAATATATTTTTTAAAAATTATTTTTAATATTAATACATTAAAACAATTTAAAAGCATAAAAGACATAGTTTATAATAAAAAAAAAATAATTTAAGCTGCCAAAAAAAAAAGTCTTAATCTATCATCATCTCTCGTTATTTAATTCATCTCTCGTTATTTAATTTACTTTAGGAATTTCATGGTTGCTATGAAATTGAAGGTAGACTAACGGAAATTTGTACGACAAAGGGAGTCAAAACTCAAAACCCGTTGATTACGGCAGGTTCTGTTCCCCGGCGAGCAGGAAAAAGAGAGAAATTCACTGAGCTTTATGAAAAGAAGCTCCACTCTATTGGGCTTGCTAGTCTTTGGGAGAGACGAGATAGTTTATGGACTTTTGATCTGTCATTCCCATTTCTCTGGGGTTTTAGGAAATCTATTTGGGCTAACATTATGTTTATGCTGATGGGCCTGCAGAAACGTTGATTATCCACTTCTTGAAAATTTAGAATAAAATATATCAATTAAAAATATGTATTTATTATATTACATTTTAAGTGTTAAATTGATAAGTATCAAAGCAATTATTAAATATAAATATAAATATAAACAATTAAATTATAACAAAACTACTTTAACACGTGTAACACAAGTATTGAAGTCATATTTATAATTCTCTGTAACAATATTTATGGGTTGTTATCCATGTAAATTTTATCGTAAGGTAAAATTAAAAAAACATGAATAAATATTTATAAATAATAAATTTAATAATTATATCAATCTAGTGCTTTGAAATAAATATCTGTAAATACTACCTCATGATTTAAATATACAAAGTGAAGAAAAAAACATATTTTTTTAACCAACAAGCCATCCCTTAAAATTGATATCAAGAATTATTTTTGAGATTGCTTCAAATATTTGAAATGCGGTTCTATTATTTTAATATTTTTTATATATTAAAAAAATATTTTATTTGTTAAGCATATCATAAATTATTGGATCAAACGTGATGTTAGGCACAAACCTAATACGAATATTCAATGAATTTTGAAATATGTGCTTCCCAATGGGACAATGCAATTTTGAATTAGTCAACTGGTGTCACCTTCCATTGTAGTCATTGTTTTGACCAAGTGACCACAAAATGAAAAGAAGGGCTACGGTTTTTCATCCATACAGGTATTATTAATATTGTTGTTGATGATGTGGTGGTGTTTTACAGCGAATAGTTGGTTTTTTACCTTTGAAAATTGATACAATTATAAGAAATTTTTAGAGATAAAATATAATTTGATTTACTCTTTTGAAAAATAGAAGGTTTATGTTAAAACTATCTAGAATTATGTTTTTATATTAGAATTGCTATCTAGAATCTTGACTTTAATAAAAACCATGATTTACAATTGCATGTTTATTGTAATTATGATTTTGAACAGCGGTTCCATGATATATCCATGATTGTGACAAAGATATAATACCTCACATGTTATCCATGGCTGCCACTCATACAAAGAGAAAAACCCTGAGAATTGCAAAGTCCTTGCCAAAACCAATCTTTGGTACTTCATTGAAATACCAGAATTATTTTTCTCTTGTTTCCATAAGTCTTTCTCTTGATTTTTTTTGTTATAGATCACTAGCCTAGACAACCTCCTTGTTGTCTTGACATAAAAAATTCAAGGTATAACAACTTTAATGTCTCTTAATTTTATGAATTTTATTATTGAATTGATGAATTTTAAGTTTTGATATATGACTATTTGTGTTGTGTTTGATGATTAGGTATTTTGTTGATATTGAGATAATTTTTAGTTTGAAGTGTTGCAATTATATCTTTTAATTTAATTAATGTTATTTATTGAATCAAATAGATTTGAATTAGAGAAATTAGATTTTAAATTGATTATTGTGTTCCTCGCATATTTAATATACTTGTTTGAATTGGGATAAATATTGTTTGAAACATATTTAATATACTTGTTTGAATTTGTTTGAATTGGGATAAATATTGTTTGAATTGATGCAAATAAATAGATAATTGATTTTTTGAGGTTATTAACAAAACTATAGTCAAAATCATAACAACTAAAATCTCTGTTGAATTTTGTTTTATTGAGATCTTTTAGTTTTTAATTGGTGCAATTATATATGTTTTCATTGATATTATTAAGGTAAAAGTAATATTAATTAAAGTTTACATTGAATTATGAAATGATTTGATTTTAATAAAATGAGTATTCTTATTTTATATAATATGTCTTTATGTTATATTATTATAATAGTATTATTATTCATGATACGAATAATAATTTTACTTATATTGACAAAAGTACTATGTTCTTGAATGCTATTAAAGATATGTCATTTAAAGATATTAAAAAAGTTATAAGTGGAAAACCTAGAATGAATTATAATGATATTAAAATAAATGTTACTTAGAGGTCTCTTATTAAGGAGCATTAATATTTTCTGATATTGATTACATGTGATGTGGAATATAAAAATATGATGAAATTATTTGTCAAAAGTGGAATAAAAATGATAGAGTTGTATGAACTAATACCTCAATATAACATACCAAATCATTACACCAAATTCAGTACAGATTTCTCCACACAAGAAGATGAAGTGTTAGCCACGTATACATCGAATTCAAAATGCTATAAGTATTTTTTACTTTTTATAGGTTTAGATGAAATTGTTGTATTTTATTTTTAGATTAATAATTTCTATTTACTTCATATTAGATTACATGATAGTTGACGTGTTATGACTAATCTTGTGTATATGTATTGAAAATGATGCTGGACTAACTTGTTATTATGCATCTTGTTGGTTTGAAACATGTTATATTGCACTTGACTTGTTATAAAAGGCATTGAGCCTAGATAATGTTATTTTAGATGATGATACCACATAGATAAGTGAAAATTATGGTATTGATGAAGCTAATCGTCTATTCATCGTCACAAAAAATATAAATAGATCTAGATGTATTATTATGTTGTATTATTTTTTTAGTTGAGAGTTATTTTTAT